TCCTGTAACTGGTGCTGACTGGCCCTCCTGTCTCCTGTAACTGGTGCTGACTGGCCCTCCTGTCTCCTGTAACTGGTGCTGACTGGCCCTCCTGTCTCCTGTAACTGGTGCTGACTGGCCATCCTGTCTCCGGTGCTGACTGGCCTTCCTGATTTTGTTTTTGGTGTTGACTGGGCCTCCTGTCTCTTGTCTCCAGACCTACTCACTGTTGGAGGAGCTGGTGGACTCTCTGTGTGAGCTACTGGATGAAACACAAAGCTCCTGAGCACAATAAAGTCCTCCTAATAAATCAAGTGTGATTGTCTACAAATAAACATTTGGAATGAAAATACATTAATAATGTATGTGCAGACCAGTTCAATGTGTGCGCATGCGCACATACACACACACTCACACACTGCCAAGGATCTCCTAACCCAAACCCGTCATGTCACATTCCTGTTTAGAGGCAGCCAAGGATCCCCTAACCCAAATCCATCACGTCACATTCCTGTTTAGAGGCTGCCAAGGATCCCCTAACCCAAACCCATCACGTCACATTCCTGTTTAGAGGCNCCATCACGTCACATTCCTGTTTAGAGGCTGCCAAGGATCCCCTAACCCAAACCCATCACGTCACATTCCTGTTTAGAGGCAACCAAGGATCCCCTAACCAAAACCCATCACGTCACATTCCTGTTTAGAGGCTGCCAAGGATCCCCTAACCCAAACCCATCACGTCACATTCCTGTTTAGAGACTTCCAAAGATCCCCTAACCTAAACCCATCACGTCACATTCCTGTTTAGAGGCTGCCAAGGATCCCCTAACCCAAATCCATCACATCACATTCATGTTTAGAGACTGCCAATGATCCCCTAACCCAAATCCATCACATCACATTCATGTTTAGAGGCAGCCAAGGATCCCCTAACCCAAATCCATCACGTCATATTCCTGTTTAGAGGCAGCCAAGGATCCCCTAACCCAAATCCATCACGTCACATTCCTGTTTAGAGGCTGCCAAGGGACTCCTAACCAAACTCATCACAAGTGTAATCCATGCAACGTCCAGGAACGTCCGTGCATGCAATGTCCAGGAAGCTGTTCACATTCACAGATAAATCCTCCGGTGTCCTGTCATTTGATAGGCACTGTACTGCTCACATGTACCATTGTAGAATGATAAGCCAAAGTAATCAAGGAAGCTATTAGGTTACCCACCACATGGGGCACTATGAGCCTGTTGTTCCATAAAAACAAATCATCATCAGTGTTCCATCAGGCTTTATGTAGTATGATGGGTCTGGTGCCCATGGCAAGAAGTACAGGACATAAAACAGGGGATTGAGTGCTGGTTCATCAAAGGGCACATACTCACAGTCTCATCCTTTGCTTTTGGACAGTGGGAAAATGTGCGAACCACAGAGCCCCATACCACCACACCAAACAAACGGTTCCTTTAAATGAATAAATTATGAGACACTCTTATTCCCCTGTTTATGGCCTTATCACTAAGTCGATGACCTAGCTCGATATTCATACTCTCCATGCCATAAGAATATACCAATACACTATATTTAGACATGCCTTTCCAGTCACTCCAGTATTTTTACTGGAGCCCCATTGGGAGAGAGACTTTTTATGGGAACTGAGTGGGAAGCTGTAAATCGTGGTGCTACAGGGATCTTACAGAATGTGGAAGCCCTTCTGCTCTGCTTCAATGCTGCAGCCCAGGCAGACATCAGCATGCACCTCATTCTGGATTACTGTGTAGAATCAGCGACCTGGCAGAGGGCTGACTTCAGCGTAACGTAATCAGCATGCTTTCATCTACCACTGACTGTAATGGTACACATCTTCGTCATGCATGGTTTCATTACATTGTTTTCAGTTTGGAAAGCACAGTGAAACAAATTAATATATTTCTTGAAACACATGGAACCCAGGGCTAATTTTGTCAATGAAAATTTTGACGATAAATATCCGTAGACGACCTTTTATTTCATGGCTAAACTGTAATGACAACGTAAATGAAAAAAATGTTTGACAATGGAAATTACAGCGAAATCTGCTTTGACGAGTAAAGACGAGACGAAATTGCTGGCTCTGGGCACACAACCTAGATCACAGCAGCCATCTCAAAGCATTGGCTATTATCGTTTTAACCAGTCCTTTAAAGAGCATAAATCTGCAAGTGAACCTACCAGTTCTCACTGTCTCCATGTATCTTTCTCATTGGATGATTTACTTTTCCTGCTTCGTACATGTCAGTGCAAATAGATGGATTGATAGAGATACTTTATTTATCCAGAAGGAAATTTAGGTGCCAGCTTCCAGTATAAATAATGCTAATTGCACAGTACAGTACGTGGTTTTAGCCCCGATTTTCCTTTTTTTTTTCTTTCAGTTTTTAGAAATTGCCGGCAAAACCCCCACATTGGAGGAAAATTGGTGTGCGATCAGCATTGGCAAAGCGGCTACTCGATCACTATATGTGTGAACTGACCAAAGACGTGACCCGATGGAGTCACCAATTTGTCACAGACACATGTCAGATACACTATATTGCCAAAAGTATTGAGACACCCCTCCAAATCTTTGCCAATCACTTACCATACCCACAGCTGTATATAATCAAGCACCTAGGCATGCAGACTGCTTCTACAAACATTTAGGAAAGAATGGGTCACTCTCGGGAGCTCAGTGAATTCAAGCATGGTACCGATAGGATGTCACCTTTGCAAGTCCATTTGTGAAATTTCCTTGCTACTATATATTCCACGGTCAACTGTTAGTAGCATTATAACAAAGTGGAAGCAATTGGGAACAACAGCAACCACGTAAAATCACAGAGTGGGGACAACGCATGCTGAGGCGCACAGTGTGCAGAAGTCGCCAACTGTCTGCAGAGTCAATAGCTACATACCTCCAAACTTTGTGTGGTCTTCAGATTACCTCAAGAACAGTGCTCCCAACTTTGTGGGAACAGTTTGAGGATGGTCCCTTCCTGTTCCAACATGACTGCACACCAGTGCACAATGCAAGGTCCAAAAGGACATAGATGAGCGAGGCTGGTGTGGAGGAACTTGACTGGCCTGCACAGAGCCCTGATCTCAACCCGACAGAACACCTTTGGGATGAATTAGAGCAGAGACAGGCCTTCTCATCCAGCAACATTGCCTGACCTCACAAATGTTCTCCTGGAAGGATGGCCAAAAATTCCCCTAAACACACTCCTCAACCTTGTGGACAGCCTCCCCAGAAGAGCTGAAGCTTTTATAGCTGCAAAGGGTGGGCCAGCTCCATATTAAAGCCTGTGTATTAAGAATGGGATGGATGTCATTAAAGTTCATGTGTGTGTAAAGGCAGGTGTCCCAATACTTTTGGAAATATAGTGTATCTAGCAGGCTAAATATCTTGACCTGTCGGCAACGCCGAATCCTGTAGGTGTGAACAGTGCTGTGAAGAGCCACAGCCAATGAGAGCACAAGACACGGGGTGAGGCGAAACCTAAGGGAGGAATTTAAAACAGTGTTGAAAGTTCAGTTTGTTTAGGAACTGTTCCTAAACTGTTCAGTTTGTTTAGGAACTGTTCCTAAACTGCACAGTTTGTTTAGGAAATCAAAACCAGCTAATACAACCCCCCCACCCCCCCAATAATCATGTTTTCCCTATAATGGGTGGAAACCTCAATCCCCCCCAATGTTCCAGCCAAAGTTACACCCTTGCCTATGGCATTTAAGGGGCTTTTGCAAGGGAATTCAAACTGGGTTGAAAAATAACCATGGCTATAGGGTGTGCCCCCAAATCAAACCAGTCCAATTATGTTCCAAGATGTGTAGGGTCAGTGTCACTCTGGGGCCCTTGGAATCATCTCAGCTTCACCCTTACCCCTCTCCCCCATAACTTCTTTGATCATCTTGGCGCCCCCTTATGGTCTTGCCTGGTAGTAAGTCATGTCCTGCTCCTACAATAATATAAATATTTAATTTACCAATCCTTATTTTAATGTTACAATTGATTCTCGATATGAAAACACTCATTATATTTCAGTATAAATCAGTTCATCCCTACCATAGGTGTCGCCACCATTAAATCGGAGGGGGACGTGTCCCCCTCACATTTCATAATTATTCGTTTGGACTCCCCCACATTTAACATAAAATATTAGTTAACCCAACGCTGTTTTCCAGTGTGTCCCCCCACATTCAAAATGCTTCTGACGCCCCTGGTCCCTGCTATAGTCATATACTGTGGTCAAGCCATCCACGTACAATTTGCAAATACACAAATGCACATGTGAATGAATAATATGTCTGCATTCCAACTTGGTCTTATTCTACTAGATCTGCCACATACACAAAGTTTCAACCAATCCTATGGTGGAAATTAGGGGTGGGCGATATACCGGTAGACTCGACTAACCGGTAGAAATTTGTCAACCGATAGAGATTTTGGTCTATCGTCTTAATCGCGATTGAGATCACGTGACGTTGCA